CAGGAATCATCTCACTGAGGCTCTCTTCCAGCCAGAGGAGGCAAGGGTGGGGCAGGCTGCCCCAGGAAGTGGTGCGTGCTCCACTCGGGGAGTTGACCAAGGCAAGGCTGGGACCCCTGGCTGGAAGGAGATTCAAAGTGGCCCTTTCTGTCCCTTCCCAACGCTGGGATTTGCCCCTTTAGGTTCAAGTTGGTGTCACGTGCCCTGGTAGATGGAAAGCCAGGCCTCCCTGGGCCAGATGAGAGGGTGATGTCTGCAGACATCACCTGTAAACCAAGTGTTCTCCCCATGCTGGGCCCTGCAGAGAGGCAGCGTGGGAGGCGTTTCCCACCGCCTTGGCCCTGGCTGCCTCCTGCCTCATCTCAGATGTCAGATCCAAGTAGCCATGACCCAGGGTCTTCCGAGTGCTAGGCACAGAACTGGGGGCTTTTAGTCTTTCCAACCACCTGCGGGTGCACAGGGGTGAAGACCCCCATTTCACTGCTGTGGAAACTGGACCCTGCCCCATGGCCCTCTGGGGAGGTTAACCTGGGAAATGGTAAGTTTGAATGGGGGGCTTGGCAGTGGAAATGAGGAGAGGGTTTGGTTTTTAGATTGCATTTACCTTGAAACATGTCTGTGAGCCTTCAGGGTAGGAGGGTTGAGGGCTGTGCTTACCTCATGCTGCTTTGAGGGAAGGTTCTGCCCGGTGTCCCTCCCAGCCCTCCTTAAGTTTTTATAGAACTCCATTTTATCCACTGCCTGGTCACACTCTTTGATGCCATTTGGCAGGTAATGAGGCCCAGGAAAGGCAGAGGGTGGGAGTCCCACATGTGAGTGCATTGGCAGCTCTTGGGCCAAGGAGGCTCATCTCTCGTTTTGAGAGCTACTCAGGACCTCTGCATAAACCTTGAACTTGTCTCCCAGTTGTCATGGGCTAAGAGCCCATTACCAGTGCTGGGATCTGAGGCCCTGGGTTCTAATTTGTAACAGCCAGAGGCAGGGAAAGGGAATTGCTTTGTGACTCATAAAGTCACATAGGCAGAACCACAAATAAGGGACTCCAGTTGGCAAAGACCAAATTGCTTTAAGGCTATTCTTAGAAACTAAAGCATCACGTCTTGTTTCTTCCCGGAAAATGCAGAAACCTTTCATATTTCTGAGTAGTTGGTTTTATATTTCATATCAAACTCCAAAAAGGCAACAGCTGGGTGGTGATTGACAAGGAAGGCTAACGAGAACTATTACCCAGGATCCTCTGATTTAACTAATCCTTGACCTTCTTCTTTTAGGGAAAGAGAGCGGTATCCAGCAAAATACTGCACTCCAGTTTCTGGAAGCTAGGACTCAGACTCAGGGGAACCCTTCTAAATCAGGCTTTCTAGTTCACTCACAGAACTACCTTGTTCCATGGATGTTTTCAGTTCATTACCCAAATTTCCTCATATGAGGTTCCCCACTTTTCATATGAGGAACTTAAAACTCGGAAGTGGAGTTGTCCAAGGCTACACAGTTAGGAAGTGGATTTGAAACCAGATCTTCTGTGTAGAAAGCCCATGGCCTCTAATTGTAAAGTATATATAATTGCTTGACCTGGGAAGCTAGTATCAGTGGTCATAATTATGTTCCTTCTTCTCTTCCTTTTGGTCTGATGACGTTTGAGCCATCTGACAAATAGTCATGAGTGCTGGTCATCATGGAGTCACTAGGTGCTAAATACATTACCCACATGATTGAATTTATTCCTTGCCCCCCTGTGACTCGAGTATTGGTATCCCCACTGATCAGATGAGAAGACAGGCTGAGACAGACTAGATAAAATGCCGAGGGTCACTCGGCTAGCGAGTGCGTGAGACCAGACTCACACCCAGGTTTGCCACACTCCGAATATCTGGATGCTTTTCTGGGAGGAGACCTACTCCGCATGGGTGTCAGAGTTATTTCTCAGGTCTCTGACTTCAATTGGAAAGCGGTTTTAAAGGTTGAGACTAAACCCTTTAGACGGCAGGGAGGCAGGGCCGAGCCTGGCACGGGCTGCGCGGGCACAGTCCCAGGCAGGGCTTATCTTCTTCTGTCCAGCCATCTCCCTCCACCTTCCCGTATCTCACTCCAGATAAGAGCTAGTTCCTGGAGCTCTCACACCCACCCAGGGCCCTCAGCACCACTTTGTCTCTTTCCCTTGGGGCCCTAAAATTAAGTTGTTCATTTTTCTTTTGTGGGAGGAGGGGAGGCGGCTGGGAGGTTGGGAGGAGTCAGGTTCTTCCAGTTTATAAATTATTCTTTGGGAGTCGGGTCTGGCTTGATAACTCAAAACAGTTCACCATTTTAGACAAGGCGGAGTTGGCGACTTGGAGAATTGATTTACAAAATTCTTTTTTCAAACTAGTGCCTCCCCAGCTTCAAATCTGCCCCAGGTGATGGCTTCAGCATACATCACATCACGCTGGTGCTCCTAGGGCCAGGCTCTGCCATCACTCAGGAATCTCTCACTCCACAGCAACTCTGCAAGCTCTCATACAAAAGAAGCAGCTGAGGCTCAGAGCTTACATGGCTTGTGTGAAGCCAGGTGGGCAGTGAGGGGCCAAGCTGAGCTTTGGACCCAGGTTTCAAGAGGCCCAAAGCCTGTGGTTTTTCTCTGCACCACCTGCCCATCGTCAGGAAGGACTGGAGGATTCCAGTGGAACTCAAGTAGCTTTGCAGTTGTCAATCAGCTACTGCAGCCCTTGTTCAATCCCGGACATACAAGTGGTTCCAAAGATAGATAAAGACAGAGGATGTTAATATGCTCTGAAAAGCGAACGAGTCTTGTTCTCTGTTTATGCTCTCTGGGTGGTGAGTCTTGCACATGGGGAAAGTTGAGACTTTCCCCATGTGCAAGAGGCAAAGTTTATGTGAGTGATGCCAACGTGAGTACTGCAGACATTAAAGGAGCCGACTGATCACGCTACAGGGAATCCATGTCTTTTGGTGCCAGCTTTCCAAGTTGGTTGAATTTGTTGAGTTGAGGGGACTAGAGGACGGAGTCCCGTCTGCAGAGTGGAGCTTGGCTGGGCCTGGAGCAGGGAATGTACTGTTCTCCCTTTGGCCGAGCCTGGTGCCAGGCCCGTTGGAAGCTTTTGGGGGAATAGATGGGAGGGAAGGGTCCTACGCTGTAGCCCGTGCCGCTGCACCCATCAGTATCTGGCTGCCTGGAGAGCTTGTCGGCCCCCAGCAGGCGGCCCCTCACAGGTGGTGTCCAGCCAGGCCACATAACGTGAATGTGTGTGCTTTTCTTTCTCCTGCTCTCCAAGCTTCTTTCCTCATTGTGCTGGGCAGCCCCTCAGCTGCCTCCTTCTCCAGTCCACCCCGGCCATCTTCCCAAAGACTTGTCTCACCCCGCTGCTCTGTCTCCTGAGCCCCACGGCCCTCTGGAGAAGCCGGGTCCCCCCTACAGTCTGCCCCAGACACCCCACCACACCTGGTCACCAGTCCTGAACTCCCGACACCTTGAACTTGCTGTCATTCTGCAGCTGTGCTGGCTTTTTCCAGACTCATGCCTTCATATGGTCCATTCCCCAGTCTTCTAGTGAAAACCACCTTGTTCCTAAAATTGTATCGTTTTGGCATTTCCCTCTTGTGGCTCCTTTGGACTCCTCCAGGCTCTGTTTAACACATTCTTTGGGCTTCCGTGTGCTGTGTTCATTTTTTACAAGTGCTGGCCTGGCTGTCTTGTAATCAACTATTTACGGGCCTGCCTTCCTCACTAGGCTCCGTCTCTGTATCCCCAACATCTAGGGTGATGCGTGGCCCTTGCTAAGGCACCAGTAGTTATTGCTGAATGAATGAGTAAAAGATTAAGGAAGAAGATAAACACCATTCTCTGCTTTCAGTTTTATAAAGCCAGCCCGCAATCCAAATGCACCCACAGTGGCATTTCGGTCTGGAGAGTGGGAAGCTGCCCAGCCCGAGGGCTTTGTCTCTGTTTGCTGACCTCCCCCTGCCAGGCCTCTGTGTGGGGGAGCTTGGTATGCGTTTACAGACCCCCTCAAGCCCTCCTGGCAGCTGGGCCAGCCCCAGCTCCTTCACACTTATCTTCTTGCACTAGCTTTAGATTCTGGAAAAATAGCTAGTGCTTTGGAAAATCAGCTCTAATTTATTTTTGTTCCTTTGAAACTTAAATGACTTTCCTAAGAAAATGCCTGAGGTTAGAGTGGTGCAGAGAAGAAAGGACGATGGCCAAAACCCAGGCAAGCTATTTTTGTGATGTGAATGAACCTCCATCGCGTTTTTCCTTCCTTCAGACTAAGCACTTGTTCCAAATAGCTCCCGGCTTGGGCTTACAAAGCACAGGCTCCTTTTGTACATCAGGAGGAGACCCACGTGTCTCTCTCTCTTTCTGTATGTCTGACTGAGGTGGATGCTGTGCTTCTAGCAGATACTAGGAATGGAGAGGAATTTTGAGAAGTTGCCGTTTGCTGTCTGTAGAAGGGAAAGACCCGCCTTCTGGTAACTAACGAAGGAAGACTTAAAAGTGTGGTGTCTAAGGATAGGTGGGATGGTGGTCATGAGGCATGTGCTTTGCATTTTGGGGGCTGTGCACTCATGTCATGTGATTAGTTTACGTTAACATTAGTCAACCAATTTATGGCACCAAGAATTACAGGTTTCCAACAGTGCTAAATCTAGTGTGCTTTTCTGGGTTTTGTTTGTTTTCCTTTTGCTAGTTACTACTTCCAGAACCACTGCTCATAGCAAGATTGACCAGGTAATATTGACATTAGCCAGGATATATCTTTGGCAATGTGTAGTTCTTTTCAGCCAGCCAGGGGAGTGGAGTGTTGGGGAGAGAGATTGCCAGCAAGGCAGCATTGCCAGGTTAGAAGGTATGATTATACCTCTCCTATGCATTATATATGTTTAGTATTAAGTGTTATGTTTAGTATGTTAGTGTCTTAAAGGAATTGTATTTTTACCTCTCCACACCTTCTCCCCACTCTACCCTCATCCAGGAAGCTCACCTCTGCCTCTGCCTCCCTTTGCAGGTGTGACGTTTCTCCAGGTACTTCATGGTGTTCTCCTCCATCCTCTCCACACCACTGCTCTACGTGGCTCCTGAAACATGGGGGAAAACGAGGACGAGAAGCAGGCCCAGGCTGGGCAGGTTTTCGAGAACTTTGTCCAGGCTTCCACGTGCAAAGGCACCCTCCAGGCCTTCAACATCCTCACACGGCACCTGGATCTAGACCCTCTGGACCACAGAAACTTTTATTCCAAGCTCAAGTCCAAGGTGACCACCTGGAAGGCCAAGGCCCTGTGGTACAAACTGGACAAGCGTGGGTCCCACAAAGAGTATAAGCGAGGGAAGTCTTGTATGAACACCAAGGTAAGGGAAACTCCAGCATGGATGCTTCTTACCCTGTGGGCCATGTGGGTTGGCTTGTTGGGAGGTTAGGAAACTGTTGCCATTGTAAGGTTCTTAGTGGGTGTGGATGTGTTTTATTGTTTGGCTCAGCTGAAGGTTGCCTTTGTCTGTGTATGAACAGCTTATCCCGGTTGGGGGCTTCTGTCTTATCATTATGGCCTCAGCAGCTCTTCTTGTGTCCTTCCCAAGGCGGAGAAGATGAAGGCATGCTTGATGTCATCCTGTTTCTACTATTACTACTACCACTACTTCTTCTAGTAGCTCCTGTTTACCAGGTAGCTTCTTTGGGCCAGGCGCATTCTGTACGTGGTCTTGGTGAACAGCACAGTAGTCCTTTGGATCATTTAAGAGATATGAAATCTGAGAAGGCAGTTACCTTGCCCAAAGTTACGTAATAAGAAGGCAACCTCGATCTCTCTGATTCTAGGGCTTAGGCCCTAAATTCCCTAGAGAGGCATAATTAGAGTTGTGTCGCCCTGGGAGCAAACATTTTAGAAAGCTCCCTGACTTTAGTTGGGTAAGAAATAGGTCTTTGGGGCTTCCCTGGGGGCGCAGTGTTTGAGCGTCTGCCTGCCGATGCGGGGGACGCGGCTTCGTGCCCCGGTCCGGGAAGATCCCACATGCTGCGGAGCGGCTGGGCCCGTGAGTCATGGCCTCTGAGCCTGCGCGTCCAGAGCCTGTGCTCCGCAACGGGAGAGGCCACAACAGTGAGAGGGCCAGGTAACGCAAAAAAAAAAAAAAAAATAGGTCTTTGGTCTTTACTGTCTTTTCTTCCCTCTCTCTCTCTTCCTCTTCACATCTCCACATTCTCCACCTCCCCATCCCCTTCCTCTGCTCAGGATCCCACTCACAGCTAACCCTCCACAAGCTGGTCACTTTCCCCACTGAGTGGCCGTAGGCGACATCGGTGAACGTGGGGCTGCCCAGCGCAACACATCTCTGATAGCTCTGCATCACCCATCCCCAAATGGGCAGCCAGAAGTCAAGAGTTCCCTGGGGGCTGTCAGCCCTGGGCACTGTTCCAGGCTGCATGTTTAGGTTAAAAGCAGCGAGCGAGCTGTATTTAGACCTCACAGGAGGTAGCTCAGCCAGAGCCCTTGGAATTCTAGTCAGTGCCAATCCTAGACAAGAGGATTGAACTCTCCATAGAGATCAGGACTGTTGTGTTTTTGTTTTGGTGATGTGGAGCCGTTGAGTCCACCGTGGGATACGCCGCTTTCCCTTGCCCCGGGGGAGACAGCTGCCAGGCTCCTCTGAGCCTGGGACGCACAGACCGTTTGGAGCACAGGCAGGCATTCCATCAGGCTGAAGCAGCCCAGTCGCCTTAGCCCAGAGCATATTAGCCATCCAGGAGGGGCCTGCCTATAACCTGCCAAGCTTCGGCCTTACACAGGGGAGAGGGAAGCGTTAAAGAATAAAGGGGGGTGGGAGGTGGGGCCAGTATCCTAAGTGCCACCCCTGCCCAGTACCTCCTTTCCTAGTTGTTGTAACTTCACGGTTCATGGTTCACTGGGCAGCTCTTCAGAGTTCCAGGAGGGGGAAGCTTTTAACTTTCAAAGCTTCACCCTTTTCAGTAATTGTATATGGTGGTTTTCTTTTAAAATGACCCATAGAAGTCAGGCGGCTGGGGTGCAATACGTTTTCTCAAGGAAGATTTTCAGAGCTCTTGTTGTATCAGAAAATGCATTGCCCCATACACCCAACAGTTTCTAGCTGCTGAGGGACTCTCTTGGTGATCTGAAGACAGACCTTCGGAGGGAGTCGGCCAGTGGAGGGATGGAATGGAGAGTTGACCACCATGAAGATGTCCTTTCAAAAACCACTAGCCGGTTGCCTGGTCTGTCTGGCCAGCCCCTATTTTATAAGCTATGATGGCTTGGAGTGGAAGAGTCCTTACATCCTGTGTTTGGCAGGTCATCGTTGATGCCTAAGATATAAAGGAAAAGGACTGTCTTTAGTTAGTGATGCTGGGTAAGAGTGGTTCTTGCCCAGGAATTTATACACCTTTCTCAGGAGGAGGAACAAAGACGTTTGAAATGTGGTAACCCATCCCATAAAAACTACTTGGATCCTAAAGTGTAGAAGATACATTTGAAAATGCACTCTACGGATGGTTGTGACTGTGTTAGGCTACCTTATCCTCATGTTTCAGAAACTCAAACTAACCTAAACAAAACAGGGAAATGAGGGAAATGATTAACTCATATAAACAGGAAGGTCCAGACACTCACAGTCTTTCCCATCCTCTCTCCTTCCATCTCTCTTAGATGTTTTGCTCTGTTTTGGCTTCATTCTTCCCTCCTGCAAACAGATTTTCTTCCTGATGCTAGCCTCTCGTTCCTATCTTTGTAGCTCTGTGACCCAAAAGACCAGAATCTTTCTCTTCCTGCTTGGTATGGAAAAAAATCTCAGGGAAGGATTTCAACTGGCTCACCCCTGGGCCAGTTATTGTGGCCAAAGCCAGAGGAGCTGACCACTGTCTTTGGCAGCCCTTTTAAACATCACGTGATTGACATGAGGGAGGAAAAGGTCCCCAGGGATGTGGAGGTGGGAGATAGACAAACAGCAGGTGTCCTCTACCTGACAGGTGACTGCTTGTTTGGAACAGGCCTCACCATGTTGGAGTCACGTGGCTGTGTAGTGCTCACTCTAAGAGCCTGGCGCTCCTGGTTGTGAGTCAAGCAAAACAGAACGTGGTCCTCCCTCTTTTCCGACATGAACAGACACTGTCTTGCTCACCCACCTCACTTAGGTTTATCCTTTGGTGTACTAGTTTACGTCATCAAGCATTAGCCAAACGAGAAGTGCTGGGCATTACTGTGCACGTGGTTCATCATTAACGCTAAGCCGTGTAGCACAGGCATGTCAGGTACCAGACCTATAGCCAAGCTCCTGCTTAGCCACAGGTAGAATGGGAATGAATGAAATGCAGCCAGAACTCCCACCTTCGCCCTGATGTGGATGCCTCTCAGCACCATCTGGAGTGGATCTGGGCCTCAGCTATTCACAAACATTAATCAGCCCCTTCCAGGTGCTATGAGCCCTGTCTGCTCCCTCATGCCAGCAGGACCGTGTGTGTGTGTGTGTGTGTGTGTGTGTGTGTGTGTGTGTTAGTGGTGATGGCAGCGGGATACTGGTGACCGGGATCTATTTGGAGAAGATGACCTCTGGTACAGGTGCCAGGGGACAGGGAGGAGGACCTATAAGGTCCCTAGAGCAGTGGTCTAGGTGCCAGCTGCATAATCTAACTTGAGATCAGTGTTCATTATTGATTATTATGGATGAGGGTTTTGCCAGGCACTTAATAATTCTTTCCCTGGGTGTGATCTGTTTGCATAAGAAAGGAGTGAACCAACGAGCAAGCCAAAGATACTCTTTCAGGACTGATATTGGCTCTGAATTAGGGTAGTACCCGGATCAAATGCCACATCCAATTGTGTAATGTTCCTGGGGAAAACAGCCCTGAAGAAAATGCAATACATAATTTGGCCTGGGAATTACCATCATCACAAAGTCATGGAGACTGCTCATTTATTTTATATGTACCTTTAATGCTAGGAGAAACTTGAAAGAATGTTGTGTACAATCTTGCATTTGACAGATGACAACCAGGGGGCCCAGGAAGCTATCTGGTTGAAGCTAGCGGGAAGCATTGCCAAGATTCGGATTCTGTTTATTGGTTTCCTCATACAGTGTTTCGTTCATTCATTCATTAGGTATTTCAAATACCCTAATACCTTAGTAGGTATTTGACAGAGGAAATGGTTTGAAAGATTAATAAGAAGTGGTTCTCACTTGAGCTTTCTATAGAGAGGACAGAAGTGTCATCATTTCTGTATTTATTCAGTTAATCATTTATGAGGTGAATGATTATTGAGCAGCTACTATGTGCCAGGCACTTGTCTAGGCACAAGACAGCCACTTAGTAGCTCTGCAGCCTTAGGCAAGTTACCGAAATCCCTGATCCTCAGTAGACATCTCTGTAAAATGAGGATAATAATGGTACTTTCTTCATGGAGTTACTGTGAGGATTAAATAAGGTAATCTTTGTAAAGTGTTTAGAATGCTGCCTAGTACATAATAAGTGATCAGTAAATGTTTAGCCATTATTATCATTAATATCCTAAGTGCTATGAGAGAGTTGTATATACTGTTCTGCAGGAGTACAGAAGAGCGACTGGGGTAGTCTGGGAATGCTTCCTGCAAGAGGAGGTATGATTTGGGGCTTGACAGACGAGTAGGAGTTTGCCTTGCTTTACTGAAGGAACAGCTAGTAGGAGTTTGCCTTGCTTTACTGAAGGGAACATAAGGCAGAGAAACATATTCTGGTAAGAGTACGTTACTCATGGAATGGGAATGAAGGTACCTGTGGAGAGAGGGAAGCAGGGAGAGCGTGAGAACCAGAGAGAACAGAATGGATGAATGGCAGGAGACCAGAAAGGCCTCCTGGGGCCAGACTGTGAAGAGAGGGTCCCTCGGTCAAACAGAGGACGTGGAGGGTCACTGAGGATGAGCCCCCGATTCTCAATCCAGGGTTCTTTCTCCCACCCTCCAGGGGGTGGCTCAGTAATCACAGGTAACCAGTTCAGACCAGAAGGCATTTGTACATTATTGCCATAAAAACCTGCTTGCAGGAAATGACTCATGGGCTCCTGTCACCAGCAGCTATGGGGCCAGCCTATATAATGAAAACTCTTGCGTTATCCTGTGAGAAGGAAATGTCTGTGTTTTGTGAACATCCAGCAGGGTCATGCCACACCTTTTGCACTTGAACGTGACCTTTGCCTGCCTTTGTGTCTGCACTGGCTCCCCAGTGGTGGGTAACCCAGGCCCTGGTAATGCTTGCAGCCCAACTCATTACGTGGTTCCCGAGCTTCATGAGCAGAGCACAGCAGGAGCAAGGAGGGAGGGAGGGAGGGAGGGAGGGGTGAAGCTGGGAGGGAAGGCCGCTATCTCCCAGC